AGCACTGAGACCAGGAGTGCATTGGTTGCTGCCCCTGCCGCTGGAGACTATCAAATAGTCATGTAACTGCTAAAATTTCATGTGGTTACATGACAATTCAATTACCCAATAGCTAACATCCCTGATCTTTAGTGAGTGGCAGGCCATGTGAGGTATCGACATCCCTACTTGCCACAAATTGTATTTGTGGAGACAAGCATTAAGCATAGAGGTTTTCCCACAGCTTACGTCACATTGCTTAAACCTATCAGTTATTTTCAGTAATTAAACTTGAAACAATATATTAATAATCAGGCATTGATTATGTGACCTAAAGTTGTGTTGTTGAATGTAACTGAATTAAAAGAATGTGGTATCGACATCCCTACTTGCCACAAATTGTATTTGTGGAGACAAGCATTAAGCATAGAGGTTTTCCCACAGCTTACGTCACATTGCTTAAACCTATCAGTTATTTTCAGTAATTAAACTTGAAACAATATATTAATAATCAGGCATTGATTATGTGACCTAAAGTTGTGTTGTTGAATGTAACTGAATTAAAAGAATGTGATTGTCTGAAAAGAAATAATAAAAATGACTCTGGACTCAAATCTTTTTTCCTATTTGTGGTGAGTTATACCGGTCATCTGAAGAAGTGGGCTGTGCCCATGAAAGCTCATGATACCATCTACATGTTTTGTTAGTCTATAAAGTGCTACTAGTTTTTTTATACTACTAGTGTTGCTGGTTTTTTATACTTGGTGACGATAGTGTTTAAAGCAGGATTTGACTGTTCTTTTTAAGGTGCCTCTACACTGCACGGCTATTTCAAAATAAGTTATTCGAGAATAGTTCATTGTTAAATAGCACATCTACGCTGCAGGTAAGCCTCAAAATTAGTCTGAGGCAGGCTTCTCGAATGTAGATGTGCTATCTCGATTTAGAGCCCCAGGAAGCACTGGGGAGGAATAACTTAGAATGGCCCGGGGGAAGGGCTATTTTGAAATAGCAGCAGTGGAGCCTCTACACACGCCTTATTTCATAATAGCTATTTCAGAACAAGTGTTATTCCTCATAGAATGAGGTTTACAGATTTTGGAATAAGCCGCTTGTTATTTTGAAATTATTTTGAAATAACAGAATGGCTGTGTAGATGCTTGCGTTATTTTGAAATGACGTGAGTTATCTCGAAATAATGGTGCAGTGCAGATGCACTCCTACTTAAGATTGTTACACAGGAATAATTAGATAGAGGGACTTCACAGCTGTTACCAGGTGTAGAAATTGGTCTATATGACTTTTATTTTTCATGGCACATGAGTGAGAAAAAAACAAAAAAAGCAATTCAGCGTGATTCTCCAGGGACTGTAGGCTATTGTTGGAATTGTAAGCATCATATTATTTAACCTTATTCAGTATGTGTAATTGACATAGTACTTAAAGAACCAAGTTTGAGGTTTTGGCTTTTTTACACTAGAACTCTCAGTATTGTTAACCAGTGGAACTGAACTGTAGACAGAGACTTACGCTTGGTTTACGCTGGAAGTTTAGGTCAGACTTTGCTGCATTAGGATGATTTTTGCACTACCAAGCCATTCTGTCAACTTAAAAGGCCGTTAAAGTCAATTTCTGCACTCCTGCTTTCACAAAGAGTAACCGTTAAATTCAATCTTGCATGGTCGACTTTCTGATAGTCCCGCATGGGAGAGGTAGTACTGCCTGAGAGTTTTTACCAGACAGGATACTGGGAGGCATGAGGCCTCAGGCAAGCAAAGGTTAATATCAAACTGACTTGAAATTAGACATTAGATTAAATTCAGCAGACCAAAACTTTTCAATTCAAGTTAACCTGTCATGAAACAAAAATGTCATTTTGATTTTTCCAACATAGTTTTGATTTTTGCAGAAACTGGATTTTCTGATTCCAAAATATGTTGACAGAAGTTTTCTACTCAACTTTAGAGAGTGTCCTCTCATAGAAACCTTTAAAAAAAAAAGAAGAAGAAAGCTAAGGTTTGTTGGTTCTGATTTTTAATCATTAAGGAAAAAGTTATTTTCAAATGAGTGTCCCAATCTAAAAATCCACTTTCAAAATATTTTTTTTCTTTCAAAGTAATACAGACCTGTAATTGATGGGTAGGGCTTTCTGTTTTAAGTATTTCTTCTGATTTAAGGTATTTATATTTTTATAAAAATAGTTCCAACACCTTATGCTTTTTGGGAATGAACTTGCAGAGAGCGTGTGATATCTTTAAGATCTGATTGATCCTATTCTCAAGACAGAAAAAGGGTAACTTTTGGGTGTTTTGGTATGTCTGTATATGAAGGAAATTAAAAATCGGTTAAATAGGTAACCATGTAACAGCTGAAAATCTCAGTGTTTACATGCTGTGGGGTTCTGCGGTATACATTTAAAATAAGCTTTATACTGCAGAGCCCGCAGTGAAGCCTCCCCAGGAATAGGGTGGCCAGCCTTAGTTCCTGCTAAGGTGTGCGCCTGCGCGGCCATGCACAAGAAATTCTCTGCCCATCCACTTACTTTGCAGGAAGGTGAGTGGGTGGCAGGTGGCTGCTCCAGGCTAGAGCTGGCTGAGGTTGTGTTTTGGTGGAGCCATTGGGGGGTGGGGCCCTGTTCTGGCAGTTGGGGCCGGGACCTGCAGGAAGACCAGGGCCCATCTAGACTGGGCCAAATTTTGGAAAAAAGCCCCTCTTTCAAAAGCCCCCTTCTTTGCCGTGGAATGAGGAACACAGGGGCTTCCAAAAGAGTGTGTTTGCTCTTCCGCAAAAAAAAGCAGAATAGCAAATGCGTTCCTTGGGCATGGCAGAACGGTATCCTGAAACATGCCCCACCCTCCTCCCCCGCACTCTAGCCATACTTTGAGAGGGTTAAGAATGTGTGTGCAAGATTTGATGTCAGCCCAGAAGCAGAGAAATGGCTGTAGAAAATGTGTTGGCTGCAAAGAGTATGGAAGTTGTTGGGAGAGGCTCTAGGTTTCTTTTTTGTTCTTGGACTTTTGTCACTGGACTTTCTTGCATAGTTTGGAATAGGAAAACGCAAGGCTTTTTATAAAAGCAGTCCTTTCCAATTGAGGTGAAGAAATGAAAACATTAGAAAAATCTAGTAATTATCTTGGTGGGGAAACTGGATAGTATGATATACTGCAGAGTAATTCTTCAGAGTGTGTTACTTTTAATGATATATTTGAGTTGGTTTTGGTAACATATATTTAGGGTGAGTAAATGTCACTGTACAGTTTTTCAGTGCCCTTCTGTAATGCTAGTTTTCCCTGGTTGGCTTTTCCCTTTCATATTATGCTTTTTCTGATGCTTTAGTGAATATCTTGGGAAATATTTCAGTAAATGTAAAATATGTAACTCTCCTACATGGTAAGTATTAGGATTTTTTGTGAAGGTGTTAAATGATTTTGATGGTATTTCAGTTTTAATAATGGACTTGACAGCAACATTTGATCTATATTGGGGGTATTTATTTGAAGACCTGTATTATAGCTGCATTTGAGATGGAGTATGAACAGAAAGTTCAGTTCTCAGTAGGGATGTTAAAATGCGTTCATTTGTGCAAATGAGTAACTGCTATTTTTTTTTGGTGGTTACACGTTTACACATGGGAGGAAAGGTGGGAACTGGTGCTATGGGAGAGCCAATTACCTGTCAGTATTGGCTCCCATTTCCCTCCTTGCCTGCCCCCCACTGCTGCCTCTGTTACAGAGGCAGCGGGGGTGGGGGATGCATGTAACTGAGAGAGTTAACCAAGGAGCCCATGCTCATTGGTTAGCAGTGTACTAGCAGTGTACTTGGATATGTGTCCACATCCCTGCTTTTCAGGTACGTGAGTCAGAGCTCTTCGAGAAATTGAGCATTCTATCTATGCAGTGGTGTTTCCTGATTTGTGTATCATGTCTAGTTCTTGCTATCCTGTTTTTTAGACAATCTTTCTATTAAACGGCCACCGTTCTTGTCTGTCTGTCATGGGATTTTCAACTTTCACACACACTCCTGTGCATGTGCCTGTATGGCCTGGCTCAGTGCAGTGCCATGCGGCTTCACTTGTGGGGAGATACTGCTGCAGTGGCCAATGCACCAGGTATGCTCTGCCACCGCCTCTTGCTGCCGCCCGTCCCCCCCTGCTGCCCGGCAGCTCCCATGCATGCGCTGGTGTGGCCTGCCTGAGTGCTGCGCAGTGCAGCTCCACTTGTAGGAAGGTGCTGACGCTGTGGCTGACATGGCAGGCATGCTTTGCCTCCCTCCTCCCAACTCCCAGCAATGCTGGTCCCTTTAAAGGAGACGGCAACAGCCCAGCACTGCTACATAGGACAGCCGCAGTCCTCGCATGTCACAAGCAGGGAGCCAGTGGCAGCTGCACCGGTGCAGATCAAAGAGGAATGGGAAACCACAGAGGAGCAGGAACATCCAACCCCCCCACCCCAACTTCCCATGTGCCCTCCTGCCCCTGCCCAGCCCATGCCCTTCAGCACTGCTGAGCCCCAAACAAACCCCGCAAGGGGCTGCATGTGTGCCTGCAAGCCGTGTGTGGGCCGCCCATGTGGGCAGGCCAAGGGGGTGCAGGGACCGGCATGGGGCACCCCGCCAGCCGCAACAAAAGACTGCTGCACTAGCTGACCACTTTAAGATCAAAACGACAAAAAATTTTAAAAAAATATGAAAAAACACTTTAAAAAGACAATATTTCGAAAAAGCGCAGCAAAAGACTCAAAATAATAAAAAAGTGCACCACCAAGTCAAAAATAAAGTTTTAAGCTAGCAATGTAGGAAAAAGATTGGATGACTAACAGTTAGCAACTACCGTGAACGTACTTAGGTATCCACAATCTTTCTCTTACATTGCTAGCTTAAAACTTTATTTTTGACTTGGTGGTGCACTTTTTTATTATTTTGAGTCTTTTGGTGTGCTTTTAGAAAGATTGTCTTTTTAAAAAGTGTTTTTTATATATTTTTGTATTGTTTAATTGGATTTGCTATATGATACCTTGTCACTAGTGTTGCTAGATTTTGAGCAGACCCTGCTTCCTGGTAGGAATTTTTGTAAGGCTGCTCTGAAAGTCAAACCTTTTTGCCTGCAAGCACTCTTACTTTATTATCTTCCATTTCCGTAAATATTCAGTCTTCATAAAATCCTATTTAAGTTCTTGACTTTGGAAGCTAACTGTTCCTCTAACATAGTCTCAGACCGATAGCTGTGTTAGTCTTTAACTTTAAAAACAACAAGCTGTCCTGTGGCATCTTAGAGACTAACAAATGTATGTTTTTTTCTCTCTCTCATATAAGCCCATATAAAATTATGAGCTTTCATGGGCACAATCTACTTCTTCAGATGCTTGGAGGAAGTTAGGGAAGCTCCTGCCCCATGTATTATGTCTAGAGGTAAAACTGCCTGCTGGCTCCAGGTGCTGGATTCAAAGGGTGCTAGTAGGAGGGAGCTTGTGCCATTTTTTTCTCTCCCCTTCCTAGCCTTGGAGCTGGGGGAAAGAGGGCTGCCCTTTGCTTTGCCTTATTCTTACTTTTCTGCTCCTCCACTACCTCTGCTCTGACAGTTCCAAGTTCTCAATACAGTCTGCTGGTGGTGGTGCTGGAACTTTGGCACTGTCATGTGCCTGACCATAGAAGACTCATTAGTTTTTTTTCCTCCTTTTACCACACTTTTCCTGAGGAATGCAAATGAGAGAATGGAAATGGAAGTTTTTAAGTTTAACTAGATCTGACCAGAAAAGCATTGCTATAGAGAATGGAGTGTGAACGTCAACATTGCAAGAACCCTTTATAATGGAATGTATTGGGCTGGAAAATATAGGGGTTATTAACTGGCTCCTCAATAATGACTGAAGAACGCTAGCTGCAGATAGTAAAAAGGAATGGTTTTGTAATGAATACTTGTCACAGAACCACCAGTGGTGGTAATAATGCTCTCTTATTCATGATTTTGGTATTAGAATTACTTAGCTTTGGTCTGTTTTTGTCATGCACTAGATGACATTTTGCTGCTATAAGTAGTTCTCCAGACAGCAGGGATTAAATTTTAACATATACCAGAATCTATCAAAATAGTTTCCCTTATCATTAATCTAATTTTTGCTTATGATTATTCAGGTGTACAGTATATGACACAAAAGCCATGTAATGGGGAACAGAAGTAAGGATGCCTGGATTCTATTCCTTGCTGTGAACTTTGGAGCAAGAATCACTGTCTCGCTGTTTTCTGTAAAATGAGTCTAATGATGTGACAGACTGGGCGGTGTCTGGGCACAGCTGAGGGCGTCCGCTCAGGGCGAATAGCTCAAATCCGGGGCTCCTTACAGCCCCCAGACTGGTGACCTCTCCAAATAGGCCACAAACCAGTCTCACAGAGCACTTCAGCTGCCTGCCTGAAGCCTCCCGAGCAAAACCCCTCCGACACCCCAGCAATATCCGTGCCTCAGATGGCCCCGGGCCTCATACACAGGTGGGGGGTCCTAGCACCCAATCCCACCTACCCCGAACAAGTTCTGTCTGGTTCCAAGAAACCAGCCACAGATCCCTGGTCAATTTACCCTCTGGATCTTACCCACAAATCACGCTGGGCCAATCCTTTAGAATCTAAAACTAAAGGTTTATTGTCACAAGAAAGAAAAGCATGAGAGTCAGGTTCTTAAAGAATATTACGTTACATGCACCGAATCTACCAGTTCTCGATGCAGGCTCTAGCAGAGATGTTACAGCTGCTGGTTTAAAAGTTCTTGTTGCACATCCTAGCATCAGGATGGGTTCACAGGTCTTCCGGGCTCTTTGATCCCTGCAATGCTGCCTCTGGGATGAAGTGCTGAGCTGAGAACAAAATGGCCTCGACCACATGGCCTCTTTATACCTTCTTCCTGGCCCCTTCTTGTATGCAGCAGGTCACCTGGTCAGAGGCCAATCTCTGTTTCCTGCTGGCTGCTCTCAGGTGACAGCCCCCATTCTTTGGGTGTGTCCTTGGCCCATCAAGTGCCATTCTCCCA